ATCAGGGAACAGGAGCTGCAGGGCATTAAGATAAAAAAGCTTCCATTATTTCAGGCTCTGCTTCAACTCTTGAAGTTCTTCTTCAAAATATAAGTGGTACGTTAGGTAAATACATTATGTTTACAGTTAACAAACCAACTGTTAAAGCAGGTTATATTTTCAGCCGTAAGGGGTAAAACAAAGGTGAGAAGATGAGATATATTATTATTTATAATATATAGCTGAAGAAAAACTCAGGTACAATTATTCTTTAGCTATTTGAAACATTACTATTTTCTTAAAACTCCCTTCCTAGTTGCAAAGATTTCTTTAGTGTTCTCATGAAATTAAGACCTAGTCTGCGGATACCTAATTTTCTTTTTATTTGAAACAGTTTCGAAAAGTGAAGGTTTTTTCCTATGATATAATTGGTTGCAAGAGAAAAGTAGCACTCCAGGTTTCTTGGGAAACAGAGGAAGCACTGCAATTCTACTGTGTGATTGTAAGTTAAGTTTAAGGACCTTAACGATAAAGAATATTTTAATCTCCAACACGACAAGAAGCTTCTTTTGTGCATTTGAAAGGGAGGAAAAATGAAATGGGGTTTTCCTTCAAATGAATCAAATGCTCATTATTGCAAAGCACTGATATTTATCAGGTCTTAAAGGATGTCTTTACACATTTTCTGGGATGGGGGGAAGCACTTTAATTAGAGCAGCTATTGGAAGCTGGTCTAATTAAAATGCCCACATCATCTTGTATTCAGCATCTCACACTTCATAAGGGCAGCAAAGGCACTTTAACTAAAGCTCATTCAACAAGCTTTAGTTAAAGTGCTCTTGTCACCATTTTGAAACATGGAGACACTGAATACATGTGACACCGAGGATGCTGCAGCACACTAATTAGAACACTCCAGCAGACCTGATTGAGTCCGCTCCAATGTAGTCTAATGAGAACGTGTTGGAGCAGGCATTGGGCACATGGATGGGTGCTCAAAGTTACTTGATCTCATTGTATGCCCATTTTTCTTTTCACTGGTGTAAATCATGAGTGACACGATCATTAATAGACATGCATTAATGTAAACCAAATCTCAAAGCAAACGTGCAAAGAAACAGGCCTGGTTTTCATATTCTTCATCTGTAAATTGAGTATTATGAACTTGATTTGGAAAAAGCCTTTAGGTACAGCCTTAACTAGCACATAAGCAGCTAACTGATGTCTCATGTACCAAAACCTGCACTAGCAGACACCACGACGTGGCACGAAGTAGCATCATGTCACATCACAGCACAACTTTTTTTGCATCTGAATGGCATTTTGTACCCAACTATTTCCAAAGCTTTAGAGCAATTCACTTAATACCACTGGAAAATATTTTAGGGTCCAATCCAGCAAACAATTTAAATGCATCGTAATTCCATGGTGGAATAAGTTGGTTCACCTAACAGCAGCAACCATGCCAGCTGCTATTTTTGGACCCCCCCCCCCGACAGTTGGTGTTCAGGGCTCGTGCCCTGGTCCTGTCCCTCCCTGCTCCACAGTTATGCTACTGATACTTGCCCTTAGTTATTACGAGGTTAAGTTAACAGTTTGCAAAACTTCCTTTCAAACCCTTAGATCAGAGATGCTCAACCCCCAGCCCGGGGTCCAGACCCAGCCCATGGAGCCATGCCATCCAGCTGATTGGGAATGGTGGCAGAGTTAATTGCTGCTTCCTTGCTGTCAAATTTTCAGACTGGTGAGGAATCTGGCAGGTTGGAGAGCATGGCCCTGCATGCTAGTTTGGGTACATGGGACTGGGATTGGACAGAGCCTGGCTGGGGTAGTGTGGATCCAGACATGGTACATGGGGCGAGGCTGAGCTGGGATAGGGCTCAATCCCATGCACCAATCCAACAAAGGATCTGGCCTGTGGATTGGTCTCATACCTCTCATCTGTCCCATAGGGCCATAAGGTCAAGTACCACTGCCTTAGATGGATAGCATTTTACAAAGGAAAAAACTTGTTCTTATTATTAATGACAACAATGATGGGGTATGTGAATACAGATTACCTATATAAGATTGTACTACACTGAAAGTTTAGATAAAAGGATAAATACAAAATGGTTAAATCTAACAGCATTTTGACAAGACTTCTTATACTATGTCTTTTGAGAAAAAGATTAGCATAATAATAAAGTTGATGTTAATTTAATGTAGGATTACAGAAACCTTTATGAAAACTCTTCAAAGGTTACACACAGTCATTTCAGAATTGTACCTCAGCTTTTATCTCTTGGACACATGTCACTGTATCCTTTATGGCTGATTAAGATGAACAGGAGAATGCAAGATTATTTTCACTTGACATAGTTTTTGTAGTAAGCAGAAAGCAATGACATGCTAAAGAGATTAACATTCTAGCTGATGCTCAGTATCACTTGAGATGCCTTCCTAAATCAAGATATTGTTTCATATGTTTTGTTAGCATCTGATATGAGAAGTGTAATATCCTAAATCCTCTTGGGGCCTAATTCTGGCTGGTGAGGTACATTTTTACAAGCCAGAACACCAGTAGTCAGCAGTAAGGGCACAAAGAAGAAACCTGTCCAAATTCTGCCCCAGGCTAGAAAAGTGGCCATCAACTGGCTCTGCAACTGTGAAATGATCTGAGAGAGATAAGGATTCTTCTTCTCCCTTATTTCCTCTGCACCCAGTTTTATCTGCCCAATTTGTGTGTACAACCCCAGATTTGGGATTTAGGTTATACACCTTCATGCACTCTTTCAGGGTGCTTACGCACAAACACAGAGTACTGTATCAATTACTTCCATGGCTCACGTCTGGAAATTGGTCATCTTCACAACACTCAATTTTAGAAACTTCTTTTTGTTGTTTTTACTTTTGGCTGGCTGGCTGGCTGTTTTAAAGGAAGTATAATATCTGCAGAAAACTGATGGGCAAATACCTCACTCAGCAGGGAAAGTCTCCAACTCATTATACAACTGAGTGGACAAGTGTAGCTGTCAAGGCTGCCTCTCAGATACCGCACAAGACAATGCAAACCAATTTACAGTACTGCAACCCTGGGACTCAGCAGAAGGAGAGCGGAAACATTTCAAGTGGCAAATCCCTGACAGCAAAAAACTGAGCAAACAAACAACTAAGACTGAATTTCTAATCCAGTTCTGGTACCATTGGCTGGAGCATTTTCAAACAAACAAATGATTTTTGGTTTAAGATCTTATCAATATGGTCAGAATTTAAGGCCTAAATTTTCAAAATGACCTACATTTCTGCAGGTGCAATATTGCTCCCACAATTAAATAAGACTCATTACAATGCATTTTGCTTGCATTTGTGTTACTTTGGAAAACTAGCTGCACAAGTTAGGCATCAAAATGGCTATAACTGCACAGGCAAATAAACATACCCACAATTTAGCATCCACGTGAAATTGTGGGCTCAAAATTGTTCCTGAATTATTGAAGGTCTGCTTCAATTCTGACTAAAATGGCATGGCCAAGGACTTACTGACTGTTCTATGCTTGAACATCTTGCCACACGTGAATAATGGAGTACAAGGTATAAGCAAACATACCTTTTAACCACTTCAAAAGGGAGAGAATGGGGTGATGAGTCATGATGACACTTGGGAATGAATATCAGCTGTCACTATCTAACTGTTAGTCTGCAGGATCCTGTAGCGATACAAATTAGCTTTGTGAATGGTCCTTCTGAAATCAAGTTACTATGCAAGTACTATTGCCACAACTGTGCCTACTATTAGGCAAAAAACATAATGACAGGTTTTGTGCTAATAAACTGACTCCCTCTGATTAGGAGGAAAAATTGTGTTTGTCAAAGGGAAGTTGGGTCATCTGGCATATATTTTTGAGATATTCTGATCTGTTGGTTTCCAGGTCAGAGCATTTCAAAATAAACCTGTTTTTTTCAGGGCTTTAAAGAAGATCTCAAAGACTCTTGCTTTCATAGTTCCCTAGCTGGTCACAGTGCCAGAAAACAGTAAGATATCTTGATATTATCCATGAATTAAATTCAGACCTGTTGTAACTTCACTAAAATAATGGAGTAAAACCAAGGATGAGCATGGGTTAATATACCGTACCAAAGATCTGGCTACCAAAATCTTGAGTTTTGTGTTGTTTAGCTTTGCTTGGTCAGTTTTATGTTCTTGATATAGGTACAAGGAGGCCATTATGCCTTAACACAGTTTATCAGCAAACACAATCTCATTAAATTTGGCTTATCCATTGTTCGGAGTATTATAATTACTCAATAATCTGTCTGAAGCTGCTACTGGGCTAAAAACTCTGTTAAAATAAGTACTGTAAAAACAGTGAGGTTACCAGCTGTTTAGAGCACTGGGGACAAACAACCTAAGTGGTTTTATGAATGGGATATGTTGTGCTGTCCTGTGATGGCAGGGAAATGAATTTAGTGAACCAAAAGTCTCCTGTACTTCCTATGTTCCTAAGAAGCAGGTGTTATCCATGCCTTGAAGAGAATGAAATTTAAGACAACATAATCAATAGTACAATTAAAATTATTATTTGGTTTACTTACACCTTACCTGAACATTTAAAAAATGTGAAAAGGAAAGGTTAATAAAAAAAGGCATTTCTACCATTAAAAGATGTAAAACTCACAAGGTGAGCACTTGGGATCATCAGCAATGCCAAGGAAGACCTGTGACCTGTTACTGAAAGGATACCTTCTGGTGATTTGAGGTTTTTCACTTTGGTTACAGCATCTCTGCATTCTTTCCATGCTTGCTCCTCACCTGCCAACATGTCAGCATCCTGGTTCAATAGAAACAAAAGCAACAGACAAAAGTGTTTGATAAGGGAAAGAGAGCTGATTCTGAATATGTAAGGATGCACAAGAGGGATGAGAAAGGGTATAAAAGAGACTTTTAGGACATAAAGAATTGAGTAAGTCTATCAAAACCTTTCCTTGGAAATAAAATTCTAGATGGAAAGCTCAGTTCACATGGTGATCATGCTTTCTCTGTGCTTAAATGCCTGGAATTTACCAGTGACTGAACACACTAACAGAACATTCAAGAAATCGGCTAAAATTCTTTAAACTGTGCAGTGATTAAGGGTTTGAATTCATAATAATTGCATATTCACATAAGAAACCTGTATAAGAATTACAGTCAACTGATTAAGGAACAAAACCAATAACATATGCTTTAGGTTGCATATCAAAACAGCTCAGATTCCAAATACTTAGAAAGAACTGTTTACCAGCAATCTATAGATCCAGAAATATGAGCAAAAATTACTTGACCAATCATTTCAACTAACTTCAATAATGCTAAGCTGAGCACAGACAATCTATAAGCAGGAAGAGGCTAACTTCATTCAGTATGAAATTTAGAAGGAAGGATGTAGTAAACTAGTCTACTGCTAAAAAAGTATTAACACAAATTTTCTCTAATCACACCTCATAATCCCTGCCCTGCCAGTAGACCAACAGCAGTAGACATTTTCACCTTGTTCATTTATAACATAGGATATGGAGGCAAAATACCAAATACCTTTAAAAATCTGGCCCTTAACCTACCTGTTTTTCAATCTCCACATCTGTACAACGGAAAGAGCAATATCCACCTTTGTAAAACACGTTGATACTCTCAGATGAAAGTGTTACAGAGCTGTAAAATGTTTCAGGACGAATCTTGAAATAAGATCTCAAAAGCAGCCCTCCAAGGGGGGAGGGGTGGTGGAGGAGGATTACATGAAGAAGATGGGGTATGAAGAACTAACCAAATGCTTTTGAATGAATATACACTCAATGGGTACTACAAGACCACTGCTGTTAAGAAGACTTTAATCTGTCTTTCTTGTGCTACATAAATAGGGATCAATAAGGGAAGAAAATTAATTACTGCAGATTCAAAATAACTGAAAATATTTACAGCTAGCCTGTGCTCACTTTCATGTTTGATGTTATAGCTCTGTCTTTCCATCTATCCCACAAGATAGTTGGGCTCCTGTATTGCCCAAGAGATGATTTAACCTAAATTGGTCTCAGCTGCCTCATAATTCTGTAACATTCTGCATTAGAAACTTACAAAGACGGCAACGTTACCTTACAGCAATTTGCAAATGTGCTTACCATAAAATCAGTTGTATGATCAAAAGGCTCACCTGGAAATAATTTTGTTCATAGCTAAGTCTGCCACCAGAAAGAAAGAAGGTCAATTTTGGAACAAAACGGGTCATATTTCAGGAGTTATTTTAGTAATTAACAGCAGACACCTAAACTCATTACACTTTGCACCAGATTTATACCAAAAGCATTGATATAACCCTACAGACTTAATGGTAATGCATCACTTTAACAAATACGCTGAATTGAGTCTGTTTGCTATTTGACAAAACTATTCTGAATATTGGGTTTGATTCTATTCACACAATACAGTAAAACTGGAGGTGCTGCAGCAATTTACGCTGCTGTAAATGAAAGGCAACTCTGGCCCAAAACACGTAAATCAGGGGTGTCCAAACTTTTTGAATGTGGGGCTGGATCACAAACTTTTTATCCCCCAGTAGGCTGGCGAGCCATATTCAAAGACC